GGGGGGGGGGGGGGGGGGGGGTAAGAACGGTGCCGTTGGTTGGGGAGGGGGTTGTCAAACTAAAAATTACTTCAATAATCATTTAAATAACGGAGGTACCCGGGTACCTATAGCATCAATTGGCTATTCGGATCCGGCTGGTCACGTGAGGGCTTTATAATAGTCAGTTGGTCACGTGACGGTTGTGACGGATACTTCCTGTTGGTTTACTTGGCTTGCCATCTTAGAGTGACTTAGAGCCATTATTATCAATCGAGAAATGCGCCATACTTTGAAGATTTTCATTTACCGTTCAAGAAACACAAAAAACAATGTGACGTACAGCTAAAAGCAAGTAAGAATACGTTTATGTTTATAATTTGATTGTATTTTTTAATTCTATTTTAAATATAGTTCTATAATCATTAACATGACATCAATCAAGATTCTAGGTCAAAGTTGCTTTTTTTTGTTTTTGCGGCAAATTGGCTACTGTCTTATCTGTAATTGTAATGAAAAGTTTAGCTGCGGCTATTCGGACCCGGTATCCGAAGTGGATACTTCAATTTTAATTCACCGCAAAAGTTATTATTATTCACACTTCCCATAAAACAAATATCAAATGTTCTTTTGAATAAAAAACAATTCGGCGGCCGCCATCTTGGTTATCGTGACCCACGAACTTAGTCCTATTTCATACTAAATGTATCCCTAAACCTAAGCTGAACCCTAAATGTATCCCTAAACCTAACATGAACCCTAAAATGTATCCCTAAACCTGATCAATCTGAATTAGCTTAAAAAACTTTGGTAAAAGTGCAGTTCAGGTGCGTATATTATTTCTGTTTGAATCTCTTATTTTCCCGTGTAAGCTTATGTTAATTCTTTTTAAAAAGTATTTAAAAGTAAAATACCATCTTTTTATTGGAATACAACAACAATTTAACAAATTTTACGAGATAAAAAAAAAGTACATTTTTATGAATCTTTCGTGTTTTACTGAGCTGTTGTCTGTTGTGGTAAATCAAGGATAACTCTTCAGTCTTTAAAGATACTTTATAAAAGTTGCCCAATTGGATGAATCTAGTTAAAATAAAAGATGTATTTATTTTATAACTTTACTATCAACGATAACCGGGGCTGCATTTAGAAAAAAAAACCATCTGCTACGTCCTTTTAGTTCACATTGTTATTAAACGAAATGTCAACAACAAAACAACAACACTGTAGTAAAAAAAAAATAATAATTAATTTGTCTCCTATAAAAACACTTAAAATTAAAATAACTTATGTAAACCTTTCGTTTTTCCCGTTTTCCGATGGCACCCAGAAGGATCATGATGGGATCCCGAACCCGATGTGATTCCGATGGAATCCTGGTCATGGTGGGATCCCGATCCCAGTGAGATCCGTTTCCGGTGGTATCCCAAACTAAATGCGATCCCAATCCGGTGGGAGCCCGTTTTGGTGAGATCCTGATCCCAGTGGGATCCCGATCCCGGTGGATACCGGTTACAGTGAGATCCCGTTTCGGGTGAGATCCCATTTCGGGTGATATGCAGATCCCGGTAATTATAGGGAGCTCACATACTTGACATACGAACCCAGCTTACAAGCCACATTGCAATTGTTACGAGGGCCTTAGGAGAAATTCCAGTTGTATTAACGTTATTTGTTGCCCCACACGGTGTGCGTTAAAACCAAATGCTGCACCATTAAAAATGCCCGTTGCATCAACAATTTTAGTTATTGTTTCTTGGTCGTCCTGCCATTTTAAACAAAATGATCCTACAACCAGCAATACCGTAAAGCCAAAACGAGTCCGTCTTATAATATAAAAAAAATAATCACTAGCCCTCACTTTACTCAGCTCAAATCAGTCACCATTAATAAGCGCATTTGCATACGAAAATGATGACGTGTGTGTCCAATGCCTTAGTCAGTGATCCACTTCTAATCCCCCGCCTCCCCCGACTTCAAAGGACAACCCCTATACTCTGAGCGGTAAAAAAAGAAAGTTGGGGGGGGGGGGCTTGCGCGTAATAAAAAAAATCTAATATTTCATTCTTTTTTTGTGAATATGCTTACAGTTTGAAAATTTCGTTTAGCATACTAACTTATAAGTGGCTAAAAATCTGGCATAGGGTGAAAAGAAAAATACAAACAAATGGGGCTGTGTCACTTTGGTTGGGGGATGTTTAAAGACTCTTTAGAAGTAAAATAAAAAGAAAAGATGCAATTAATAATTCAGAATTAGTTAACTATAACTGCCTGCATTTAATTATTAAAAAATACACGTAAGTTTACTTGACAAAAAAATTTTTAAAATACGAAATGCGTTGAGAAATAATATACGCACCTGAACTGCACTTTTACCAATACCCATTATACATTATTTCACTTTTCCATTAAAACTCAAAACACTTCCAATAAAACTAAAACAAATGTTATTTTGAATAAAAACATACATACTTCTTTAAAGGTCCTCCGCTACTGTAGTGGCCAAAATTGAACAATATCGTCTAGAATGGCGTTGAAGACATAAAAGCCATTTACTTTAACACATTGACGCCACATGAACTCACACAATAACAAGTCGAGCATATGTCTGTGTGTGCCGTTGTGGCGCTTATTTCTCTCTTTTGCAGATTTCCACAAACGTTCGAGGGTTTGGGTATTGGCACCTGAGTTTTGATCCAAAAACTTAACAGAATGAATGACCGCTTGATGAGTCAATCCCGGAGTGGTGCCAATTGCATTATATGCTCTCTATTGATCTGACATGACTGTTGTGACTGTTGTGCCCAGCAGAATGTGTGCTGTGATTATCGGCATAAGTGTGATGTGTAGCTGCTGATCTATCTTGTACACAAAACATGAAACACTCGCTAATCTCCAGAGACCCATTGTTGTGGCAAAACTCGCCCGACATGATTTTTTCTGCACGTAAACAGACTCGTCGATTTCAACTGAGAATAAACATGACTTACCGGTGTAAATTATGTGAATTTTTTGATGGATGAAGCATGAATGGATCCTAACGCATGTGTTTTGGGAAATAAGGCCCATGGAGGCCCTTTAGACACCCCTGGCACAGAGTTCTCTTTTTCCTGCCCTCAAGGTACTTTTCGGTTGCTTCAGACAGAGTGATCCTTTTCACCATTGTGCATCCAATTATGGTTTATTTGAGCTGGGTGTTACTGAGAAAGTTGTCTGCATACTTATTAGTTATTATTATTCTCTCTCACAAACATTTTAATGATATATTGTGAAAAAATTAGCATAAGCACTCAAATGGGGTGCTTATCCCATTAGGCACATTTAAAGGCTCTATTTTTTCTAAAAATTCATAGGGGTCATCTCTACCCAATTCAGAACCCCTAATCCAAGGATTCACAACAGTATCGTAAACTTAATCATTTTGATTGTCTTCATTACTTTCCTGATTGTTTTCGTCAGTGTCAGATTCACTGCTAGACCGCGAGAAATCAAGAGGGTTACGTCCCAAGAGAGTTAATGAAAAAGCTTTCGTGTCACCAGCTCTCCTACCAGCAATGCTGCTAGTACATGAATTTCAAATATCCTAGTTCAGAGTTTCCCAAGCGTTTTGGAGTCACAGCACCGTTGCTGCACCCACGTCTTTTCAATTTTGCTCTAAGCCACATTCTTTGTGCACTGTAAAATAGCACCTTTTATATTATCTAATCCATTTTGAAACCTTATACTTATACAAGAAGACATACCTCAATAACTTCACTTGACTCTATCAAAACAATATCTAATTGATACAGCATAGACGCTGCACAAACCCAACAGCTACTTTAATAAGTACAGAGTACCAAGTAGGTTGGAGAACTGGTGAAAAATACCAACTTAATTATTAATGGCCTGAATTAAGTCCATTCATTTTTTAACACTTCAGGTTGTAGCAGGACACAGTCTGGGAGCCTCTGTCCTAGTCAATTACATGCCATAATAAACACATATCTTTACATTTTCTCTCAACACCTAGTATCATCCTAATCTCCCTTCCAATAAAATATTAGTATCTTGATCCCTTGAATGCACTTTATATAAAGATAAATCCAGCTAGTGCATGTAAGAAATATCAAAAGACTGTATTGGAATGGGTAGTTTCACTGATTAGGTTAGGGTAAAATCTTGCACATTCCTAATTTAGTTAAGGGGGTCAACTATTTTCATTTTCTAAATTATTTACATTTTAACATGTTTAAAGTTTTGATATTATGTATATGGGCTTAGATAAGTAAAATATGGTGGACAAATTTAATTATTTAAAAAAAATTTACTTCAGCGGAGCGTATTTGGGGTCGAGGTGGCAAAATCATGGGAATCTTTGGAAAGGTTTTATATAAAAGCCACAGCAGCTACAGGTTTCAAATTTTGCATTTAATTAGCCATATGCCTACTAAATATGATAACATTGAG